CCAGGCACAGAGCCCACCATGTCCATGGAAAAGCATGCCTGCTTCTTCCCCTTTGCCCCCATGCTGGCACCTTCTGGCCTGGGAGAAAGAAAGAAACACTGAGGAAGCCTGGGCCATGGGCAGACAGAGCCGGCGACCGGAGGCCCTGGTGCTCAGGGGTGCAGGTGGACTTGAATGCACCTGGCCACTTCCTTTCAAGCTCTGTGATTCTGGGCAAGACTCTGACCCCTCCGGGTTTCCATCGTCTCATTTTCAGGGGTTATTATGAGGATTCAGTAGCACATAACCAGTACCCAGTGCAATGCTTGGCACGGCCAGGGCCTGCTGGAAGGCTGTTCCCAGGGGAGTCTCGCTGGTGTTGGAGTTTGGGGCGCAGTGGGGGGAGCCACTGCCCATTCTGGAGATAAGGAAACCAGCCCAGAGAGATGGGGCCGGGAGCCCAAGGCTGCACAGTAATGTGGTGCAGTGCTCCCTCCTGACATCCACCAAGCTGTGAGCCAAGCAGGGGCAACCAGAACTCCCAGGTGTCGCAAGGGTCACATCCAAGTTTAGGTGATGAAAGATGAGGTCCCATGTTTGGGAATCTCAGAAACGCAGCTGGCTTTAGGAGGTCCTCCGCTGGAGGCCTGCGACCTTCCCCTCTCCGGCGCCCTGTTACTATTTCTCCTTCACCGCTAGAGATACGTGGCCCTCTGTGGGCCTGCTGGTCCACTAGGAATCCATGACCCCCGGGGGGGCTGCTGGCCAGGGCTGTCTAACTAGGGCTCCGACGTCGGGCAGGGAAACCTGATGGGGCAGTTAGAGTATTCGTTACCTGCTGCTGTGCCACATATTACCCCCCCACCACCATGCAGTGCTTTCAAACCACAACCGTGTGTCTGTGTCATCTGCAGCCAGGGCAGCCAGCTAGCATCACCCAGGGCAGAGGCCGCAGGCCCCTTGTAACCTCAGAGGTGACATCCCATCGCTTTTCCTCCATTCTTAATTTTATTTCTTAATATTTTATTTGTCTGAGAGAGTGAGAGAGAGAGAGAGAGAGCACAAGCAAGGGGAGCAGCAGGCAGAGGGAGAAGCAAGCTCCCTGCTAAGCAAGGAGCCTGATGCAGGACTTGATCCCAAGGCCCCGAGATCATGACCTGAGCCCAAGGCAGCCGCTCAACCAACTGAGCCTCCCAGGTGCCTCCTGCATTCTCTTTTTAGAAGCGAGTCACCAGGTCCGGCACACACTCTAGGAGAGGGGGTTCCACAAGGCACGAGGTGTGCATCACTGCCCAGCACACCTGGAAGAGGAATTTGCTTTGTTCCACAGGAATGAGAATCGTCCTTTGGGATTTTTGCAACTGTGAGTAGCCTTGGGGCTCGGCATCACTCCACCTTCCCTTTCCCGAATTACTCTATAGCCAGCATGGGTGGGTCCCGAAGGCACGAGGCACCAAAAGGCTGGGGCCACGAGGCAGGACAGGAGGACAGGAGGACAGGAGGACACTGCAGCCCGGAGCAGAGAGGCGGCAGGGCCCAGAGCTAAGAGTCTCTATGTCCCTCTTCAGCCAGACCCTTCGCCTCTTTTCCATGTATTTGCGTTCCTTCTGGCCGCTCCAGGGCCTGGGGGTGGCCTTTGCTCTCTCTGATGGATGAGGTCGCTAGAGGCCCGGGCCACACTGTCTTTTGCGACTCCTTATAAATTAAAACTGAACAGCGTCCAAAACAGGCCTTGGAAATCGTGACATATTGTAAAGCCCCAATCTAACATACTGCTGTCTTTACTGTTCAGGTTACAGGGGGTGTGACTGTCTTTCACCAGGCCTGATGGAGTTTGCAAAGAACCATCCTGTGCCAGCCAGGAGGGGGGGCGGGCTGGGGGTGGAACCCAGGCCACCGGTTCAGAGATTTGTGACAAGTGTCATCTTTATCCCGTACCTGCCTCTACAGCCTTTTATAGAAATCACATCAAAAGTCTAAATTAGGGCCCTTTGCTAATTTATTTTTACATGATTTACAAGCGCTTGTTGTAAGTGCTTTAAAAGAGGAATTTAAGGGGCTTTGCCCTTTCTCTGGTTTCAATAAAGTGGAAGGATTGTCCAGCTGGGGCTCGTCAGAGGTTGAGAGATGCAGGCCACTCCCAATTAATTCCAAAGCAGGAGATGCCCCAAACAGGCCTAAACATATCGTCTGCGAAACAACCCCAAAGGTAGGTGTTCTAACGCTCCCATTTCACAGAAGAGAAACAGAGGCCCAGACAGGTGGGCGTCCGTCCCAGGCCACATGGTGGGTAGGTGCCCTGGGCCCTCTGTGCTCCCTGCCTGTCTAGACAGGCCATGGCCTCCGTGTGTTCTGCTATGCACCGGGGATGTGGCCGGGCCGGGCTGGGCTGGCACCACCTTGTTCCACTGGGTGTGGACACGGATGCCTCCCCCTCCCCCCCTCCCGGTGCTACGTGTGTGTCAGATGAACGTGCAGGACGTGCTCGCTGGGAATTGGTCAGGGAGCTCCCAGAGGGGCAGGCCCAGACCTGCACCCCCCATCCCGTGCCGGGGCAGCCCCTCAGCCCGTGCTGGGTGTTCTCCAGGCCCCTGACCACAGGTAGGCAGGACACCAGGGATGAGAGGGGAAAGGCCCCCTGGCCCCCAGTCGCTGCTTGCCCCCCGCCCCCCACATCATTTCTGGGCCGAGAGCCTGGGGGAGCCCAGCACCCAGAGGCCACGATTCAGATGGTGACACGAGAACCTCAGCGAGGACGTGTGCCTGAGCGATGGGCGACACCAGAGACGCTGGGCTGGTAGGGGCAGCCTCCGCCCCCACCTCCCTCTCCCAGGAATCTTCTAGCAGGAGCCCAGTTGCCAGACCCCCCAACCCCAAGACTCCACAGTGGGGACTCTCCAACCTTTCAGAAACTGGTCCAAGCCGCAGGCAGGTGTCCATTGCTCCTGAAATCCAGTATTTTTCAAAACGTGGCCCTGGACCCTCTGCACTGGATTCAGCTGGGGGTGCGTGTAAAAGCAGTCCTGGACTGGCACCCTGGCCCCTAGCTAGGGGTGCCCCTAGGGCCATCTACATTTAGGGGCCACACCTCCCTCTGTAGGAAGGCCTCACTTGGGAACCACAGGGGATGGGACCCTTGGCTGGTTTATGAATTTGCTGGATCTGCTGCGTCAGTTCCGTCTTCTCCACCCCAGCTCTCGAGGCCAAGCAAGTCCCAGGTTCCCCAAGACCCTTCTGTCCTCTCCATCCCCTGCTCCCCAGCAATCAAGCTGCCTTTGGGGCTTCCTGACCAAGAGGCACCCCACTTGGAGCTCCGGCCCTCCCGCCTCGCCCAACACCTCATCTTGCCAGCGCTGGTGGCCCCAAGACACCCCAGGCCTGGAGACAGGCTCCTGGCAGGGACACAGGCTGCCCAGCTCGGGAGGGGTGGCTTCCCAGGCTCAGAAGCCTCAGGCAGGCCCAGGGGAGAGAGACCCTGCGGCCAGCAGCCCCCCTTCCCTCGAGGGGGGTCGGTTCCCCAGGAGGCCGTCTTCCGGAGGGGGTGCCTCCTCCTGGCAGCTCCTGGCGCTGAAAGCCCTGCTTTGTTAACTGAAGCCTCTGCTTCTGGTTCGGCCCTCCAGAGACTTGCTCAAATGATCAATATGCTTTTAATTAAACTCTGACTGCTTCGCGAGGACTGCGTGGTCCCCTGGGTCCTGTTTTTCTTTTTTAAAGCAGCTCCAGCGGCGGATCACGTGGGCCCTTGAGGAGCCATCTGATCCTCGGAACTTCCCAGGTCAAGGGCCTCTCCGGAGGGATCCGCTACCTCACTGGGCCTTGGGCCGCACTCAGGACGCTGGCGGGGGAGGGGAAGGAGGGCGGGGGGAGCTTCTCAAAGGCTTTAACCCCAGGGACGAGCTTTGGCAGAGGCCTGGGTTGAGTGGGCGTTATTCTAGGTGTGATTGGCATGACATTCAAGGGCAGTGGCCTGGCTTTAGTCAAAATCCTGGGCACCTGGGTGGCTCAGATGGTTAAGCATCTGCCTTTGGCTCAGGTCATGATCCCAGGATCTTGGGATCCAGTCCCGCCTCAGACTCCCTGCTCAGTAGGGAGCCTGCTTCCTCCCTCTGCCTCTCCCCTCTGCTCTTAGTCTGTCTCTCTCAAATAAAATTAAAAAGTCAACCCCCTCAATCCCGCCCCAAATGCCCACCTCCCTGGCCTGTGGAGGCCGAGAAAATTAAGGCCATTCCACTTTAAGTTCGGTGTTAGCACAAGTGCAGCCATCCCAGGCCCCTGGGAATAAGAGCTGAAATTTACATTACTTCAGTTACAGGAAGAAAACAGTTTACAGCTTAATGTCCTAGAAAGTCCCATATTAGAATGAGAACAGAGCTCAATGCCCTTGAAAGCCCCATATCAGAATGTAAACAGAACTTGAGAAATTCCTCCACCCCTTCTGAAAATCCCCTAGACCAGCCTATAAAAAAACCCAGCTTTGGGCAGCCCCGGTGGTGCAGCGGTTTAGCTGCTGCCTGCAGCCTGGGGTGTGATCCTGGAGACCCTGGATCGAGTCCCGCATCGGGCTCCCTGCATGGAGCCTACTTCTCCCTCTGCCTCTCTCTTCGCTCTCTCTGAATGAATAAATAAATCTTTAACAAAACCCAGCTTTAACCCACTTCGGGGTCCAAGTCCTGCTCCGCTGTGTCGGGTATACTGTAAATAACCCCTCGTGTGTTTGCATCGGTGTCGGCTCCTTGGTGGTTTCTCGGATACGTGATCTTGGGCGCAACAGGCCTACGGGAGGTGTGCAATAAGTGCTCTGATGAAGTGAAAGGTGAGTTTTCCATCTGCTGGAAACACCCGCTGGAGATGACCCGGAGAGGTCTGGTTAGTTACTCTCCACCCACATCCTGGACGTTGGCTTGTCCTTCTCCACCCGTGGGGACAGAGGTGCCCCTGAGGTGACTAAGCCCAAGGACCCTGCTGCCCAGGGGTCTGGACTGGGATTTCTTGCTGAAGACAGGAGACTCCAGCCACTGAAGTCAAGCAAAGAGCTTTTTATTCAGAGCCCGGAGGTGGAGTGTGCGCCCAGCCTCCCTCCCCGCAGCCCTCCTTGGGTTTTGACAGCGGTTACAGTCCAGTGTGAGGCAAGCACAGTGTTATGCTGTCGCCGTGCAGTGAGGACAGGAAGCTCAGGGTTGGACGGGGCCCCAGAACCCGGTGGGCTGCGCTGAGCTATGGTGCGAGATGAGCCTGCTGTGCGGGGGGCCCTGAGCAGGAGCGTCAGCCCCCCTCCGACCAGGGCCCGAAATCCATGGAGACGGACATTGCCAGTGGTGACCCTAACTCTACGTGTGCGGCCTCCTCGGGGCCTCCAGGGGCGACACTGCTTCCCCCCGCGTGTGGAGTCTTTGGTATTCGGTCGCCGTGCTGCACCCCTCTGAGCCCCCCTGCCTCCCGGCTGCCTCCTGGGTTAGGACAACAAACCACAGGCCTCTGTGATCAGAGAACGGCTCTCCCAGAGGGGCCAGTGGCCGCGTCCTGCCCAGACTGCGAGTCCACAGGCTCGGAGCCGACCAGCCCTCCTGCTCGTCATGAATAAATATTAAAGCTGATATAGGGACGCCTGGGTGGCTCAGCGGTTGAGTGTCTGCCTTTGGCCCAGGGCGTGATCCCAGTCCCGGGATCGAGTCCCACATGGGGTTCCCTGCATGGAGCCTGCTTCTCCCTCTGCCTGTGTCTCTGCCTCTCTCCTTCTCTTTCATGAATAGATAAATAAAATCTTAAAAAAAAAAAAAAAAGCTGATATGGACCAAGATGGGCCTATGGCCTGGCTGCTCTGTCCCTGTTAGAGCCTCACCATCAGCCCCTCGTGGGATGTCCTCCGGGGGCTCTGAGCAGGGCTTAGCACAGGTGGCTCTGTGAACACTGGCCCCGCTGAGTAGTTAACCCTGGGGTTCAACTAGCCTCATCCTGGCAGTGTGTGTGTGTGTATGTGTCTTTTTGGCTCGTCAATCTGTAGTCCCCGGCCACCACCCATCCTCTCAGAGAAACACAACAGGCCCTATCTTGTGAGAAGTGGCTTAAAACACAGGCCAGATTTCTGGTCGGTTCTACTGCCCACGTGGGTTGTGAGACTCTCTCCAGAGGGAAAGTTAATTAAGCTATGGGGTGGGGGCGGGGGGGTGCTCAGAAGGTCCCCAGCAGCTCTAAATAGGTCCTCTCCCCCATCCCTACCTGTGAATGGACAGACCTGGAGCCACCAGGCAGGACGGCTCCAAGCTCTCCGACTCAGTGACAGTTCTCGTATCCCTGGGACGGGATGGGAGCTCAGCTTTGGCACCACTGCCACGACACAGTTACGGTCATAACTCGCCTTTTGAGCCTGGGCACGTCCCGCATGTATGCGTGTGTCCAGCCCAGTGAAGGGCCTCCTCAAGCCAAGCCTGACCCTCAGGTCTGACCTTGCCGGTGGCTGTGGCAGCCGTGCCCCTGTCCTAGGTTAGACAAGCCTTCCCGGGGAGCAGCCAGGATCCTGAGACCTTTCCAGGCTGGTCTCTTCTGATGTCACTGTCCCAGCCCGGGGTCCCCGCAGCCAGCCCTGCTCTGTCCTTCCATCATAACATCATGGCCTTCGTTCTCCAAAGCCAGGAGCTAGGGCCCCAACCTCCCCAAGAGAAGACAGACATCCCAAGAAAGGCCAAAGGCAAGTTCTTTCCTGCCCCCGGGCTACCCCGTTTGGAGCTTCCTTTGCTGGCAAGGCTGTGCCAGATGCCGAGGACGCCCGGTCTTGGAGGGACGTCCAGGCCCGCTCTGGGCAGACCCTTCCTGATGGATTCCAAGTCTCGTCCTCTCGTCACCCCTAGTCCATCCCCCCAAGACCCGGCCCGACCCGGGGAGAGGACGAGGCGGTGCAGGGGATGGCAGTGGCAGCGGGCGGTCTGCGGGCGACAGTGGGGTGCAGGGGTGCGTCCAGGTTGCCTGCGGCTTTCGGGTGACGGGCTCCCCCCACGGCAGCCTCACTCATCTATCACCTCCACGGAGTCCTCGTCCTTCCTCTCCTCCGACTGCTCCTCCGTGGTCTCTGTGTTGTCCGTGTCGGACAGCGAGGCCGCCTGCCGCACCCAGGCCCTGTCACTGAGAGGCTCGGGGTCGCACGGTCCGGAGAAGGGGTTGAACCAGTTCGGGGAGAAGTCCCCGCCGAAGGTCTCCTTCACCGACTTCCAGCTGCCCCTGCGCTCCCTGGGCTGGTGCTTTCGTTTGAGGCGCTCGATGCCCTGGAGGGACAACGGGATGAAGAGGGTCAGTGGGGTTTGGGCTGCGCACCCCCTGGCACACCCCCAGCCGGCAGAGCTCGGGGCCCAGGGGGCGGGTGAGGTGAGGGGTGGGGGAGCCGGGACACAGCCAGCCTGGGCCAGGTCAGGGCTCCGGGGCCCCCGAGGGCTGGAGGGGCACAGTGGGGAGTGGCGGGGAGCGGCACAGCAAGCGGGGCCTTCATGGGGGTCTGGCCCGTGTCCCCCCCGCTGGGGACCCCAGGCCTCTGCCCTTTTCCCCTGCTGCTGCCGGGGTTCCCCAGCCTCACTAAGTCAGGCCAGGCTGCCAAGGGGTCCCGGGTTGGGGAGTAACATCGCAGCTGCCCTGAAAGCACTGAGAAGACGAACCCGCCCCCCTCCGGGCTTCTGGGTCATGCCCCCCAGCAGGTGCAGCAGACTTAGCACGAAGAAGGGGTGCGGGCGGTAGGGGGGAGCACGGGGTACAAACAACACCGGGGCCAAGGAAGCAGATCGCGTGCACAGCCAGTGCCAGCATGCGGCGGGCAGCCGGGGGCGCACAGGGTCGGGGAGGCCTGGGTGGGTGTCAGGCCCCGCTCGGGGGGGCAGACTGCCCTGTGGCTCCTCCCAAGCTGCCCACTCACCTGCCTCTGGGCGTCGGCCGCCAGGCCACAGAAAGGGTGTGGGAGGGGGAGAGGCCCACGGGAGTTAGAGGCACAGCCGGGTCAGCTCTCCAGGCCACAGCACCCTCCACAAAGGCTTTTAGCCCCACTGGGGCCTGTTCCGGAAGCCAAGGGACATTGCTGTGGGTTTGCCCGGCACGGGCACTGCTCATTCACACGACCCATTCCACCTCAGAACGATCTCTGAGGACCTTGTCCTAGGTTTTCTCTTCTTTTCCACACAAGAGCCTTACATAACTGGTATGATCCCTTCTGTTATGCAGAGAGAGAAACTGAGGCACACACACCAACTGAGGTCTGCCCCGTCCTCCGGGCCAGGTCGTCTCCAGCACTGTTTCTTCCCCCTCCATCTCAGAGATTTATGTTTCTTGGCTCTTGAAAAAATTGTAGGAGTCAAGAATCTGATCTCAAAGTACGTCCCTTGTGAGGTACTAATTACGAAGGGCAAACCAGCGTGGGAGCTTCGCAGGCATCGCCTTAGCCAGCTCGGAAGTAACATCGCCGATAATGAGATGCGTTAACATCGCACGACCTCAGGATATGACGCACCCAGGACACCACCTCAGTGGTTTTCCTGCCAGAAACGCGTAATCTAGGTCTAATTGCCAGAAAACAGCAAACGCAAATTGAAGGGTAGACACTCTACTGAATACCTGGCCTCTGATCTTCAAAAGGGTCAGAGTCTGATGAACACACTTTGGAACCGGACAGAGGTGGAGGTGGCACGGCCTTACGTCCGGACTCCATGCCACCGAACGGCACGCACCAAAGTGGTGGATTTTATGTTATGTAAATTTCAGCTCAATTCTTAAAAAAGATTTTATTTATTTATTCACGAGAGGCACACAGAGAGGCAGAGACATAAGCAGAGGGAGAAGCAGGCTCCTCACATGGAGCCTGATGCGGGACTCGATCCTAGCACCTTGGGATCATACCCTGAGCCAAAGGCAAATGCTCAACCGCTGAGCCACCCAGGTGCCCTTCATCTTACTTTATTTTTTTTTTAAAGGGGGTCAAATTCATGAAAGGCAAAGAAGGACTGGGCAGCACTGCAGATTGGAGCAGACTACAGAGACGTGACAAGCGACACAATGAGACAGAGGAGGGTCTCGGGGGGCAACCGGACAAGTCTGAATAAAGAAGGTAGACCCGTTAATGGTATCGTATTGATAAGTTCCCAGGTTATGTTTTGTGGCCATATAAAATGTTTACATTTAGAAAGACCGATGGAGGGGGGATATAGGAGCGCTCTGTGCTATTTTTGCCGCTTCTCTGTAAGTCAGAAGTTATTTCACAGTGAAAGATGAAAAAAATAATCTGAGACACAAAAATGTGAGCGATACGGTCTTGAACACCGAGTTACAAGGTGACAAGCTGGAAACAATCAAAATGCCCACAGTGACAGCTAAGTCAGCGATCCTACAAACCGAACCACAACACAGCTATGACAAATGGTGTCCACAGTTTTACACGGCACCGGAAAATCCTGTCCAACGGTGTCAAAGGAAGACAGCATAGTTAGTTGCACACGACATCATGGGACCCGAGATTACCTCTGGGGAGGGATTTGGGATGATTCGTATTTATATCTGTGGACTTCCCGTACGTTCCAAGCTTTCACCACTTTTGAGCGGGTGTTACTGTCGTAATCAGAACAGAGGAGCCGTTTCAGGAAACAGACCTTGCTGACAACTTTTGCGGGAGCCTCATGTACTTAGGTCAAGAGCACCGGATGCTGTGCTGCCCACAGACTGGCCCCTCGCCAGGCGCCCCCTACTTAGCAGAAGCAGCGGTGGCCAACTGAGGGGACTTGCTTTGGGGATCCTGCATTCCCTTCCTGGGCAACCCTTAGCAGCCTGTCAAGAGAGGCATTTTAAGAACATGATTTTGGGGAAGCAGGACATCATGAGGAGGCAGGACAGGCCACAGAGGGGACACCCAGAAATGGCAGACTGTATCCACATGGACAGGGCTCACTCAGAGCCATGATTGTGGGGTCCTCGCACCGCCCTGAGAGGAGGCGGGCGTTGGTACTGACACTTGGAAGATGAGAAAACAGAGGGTCTGAGAGGCCACTGCTGTAGCCAAAACTTGTCCTGCTGGTCGTCAGAACTGGGGCGAGAACCAGTGCCTCCCCTCTGCCCAGTGCGTTTTCAATCCTCCTACAAATTCTCCCTCTACCCGTGCGGATCACAAAGGCAGAGGGAAGCCAGAGCCTGCACGATTGCTGTGTCCATGCCAGTGGCGTGTGCCCAGTGAGCACTCTGGGCCTCTTCATCAACTTCTTCACCAAGCTCGTAAGAACATTCTGGAAGGAGCCCGTCCCGTTCACCAGATAAAGTTCCTGAGCAGAGAGGTGGACAAACATCCAGGTGTATCAACTCTGAGTCTGGACAGAAGCAAATGTTCCGAATGCATCTGAGGCATAAGAGAGGCCTGAGAGTCTGAACCCGCAGGTTCAGGAGGATCCAGTGGGGTTCGTTTCTCCTGGTAGGACTCAATTTTGAGTTTCGTGTGGATTTAAAGACGTGCTGAAGGCAACGTTCTTGAGCAGGAGGTTTGTGGCGGCAGCAGTAATACCCACTTCAGGCCCAGGCTAATGAGAATGGTTGATTCCTGGGTAGGGGGCAGTGGCTGGAACCAACGTCTCTTGTAGGGTGTGTGTGACGGGGGCTTTGGGGCCCCTGTGCCAGGGTGGCACAGGAGCTGTGATCTGCAAACGAACCCACCGAAGTCCCTAAATGAACATACTAGGACTAAGGTGTCCGAGGGAGCACAGGCTTTGTAAGGGCTCGGCTGAGACCCTCGGAGCAAGAGCTGATTGCCCCCATCCCCCCACTCCGCTCCCCACATCACTGGAGGGAGATTTGGAGAGGCTGCCACCCACGTCACCTGCCCTCCTCCTTAGAGGGCCAGAGAACACTCTCGTAGCTTTTTACTACAACCCACAAAGGGCGATACTTGTCTGTGCAAACTGGCACCGCCCCCCACAAAGTTCCATGAAACCATAGTTACTCTACAATTGCGGCGCATTTTTATTTATGTACTTTTTTAAAAAGGCCACATCATACCAACAAGCGTCTCACTAATCGTGAACTGTTGTGAGTGGTTTGGGAAGCAGAGGTCTAGCAGAGCTAAGTGGGCTGAAGCCACGCCGTGCGCCAGACGCCACCCTCACGCTGCCGGTCACGACGCCCCTTTAATCCTCGCTCAGCCTCGTGATTTAGATGAACCTCCCTGGTTTGACACATGAAGTCGTGGAGGCTTAAGTCAGCCGGGGCCCAAAGTCACACACACAACGAAGCAGCCGAGCAGGGACTTGAACCAGAGCCTGGGAGAAGCCAGGGCCTAAGTGCCGGGTCGCCGGGCTGTGTAACCTCAGCAGGAGGGGACTCAGGGCATCCTTGCGTCCGGAGTGGGTGCCACCCAGGGGCTTCTGCAAACTCCTGTGTGTGCGGATGGACCCGGGGCCACTCCGACTTCTAGGGTACCCACGGGGGGTCATGCCACCGAGGACTTCCTCCTGAGGGAGAAGGTGGGAAAATGAAGTCTCCGTGTGGGGAGGGCAGAGCGGCCAGCAGCTTGTATCCGTGTCACCGTGAAGCCTTTAATCCGGTGAACCCCTTGGTGCAGAGCCCAGGTGGACAGACTGAACTGTGCAGGCAGATGGACAGACAGACTAATGGTCCGGCTCCCCCTTCACACGAACAGACCTTTCTTGTTTGCTCAGCGTTCATTTGTTGGGGAGGCTGTGGGTTGTGGGGGAAGGGGGGCGCCCAGTCCACACACCGGCAGCACCATGTGGGAGACCCCTGCACACCCCGTGGGGCTCCAGGCCTTGAGAGACGGCGTGTCAGTCACCTGGGACTACTGGGCGCGCCCCGAGAGTTTGGGGTTGGGCTGGTCCGCCGTGGGCCCGAGGCCGGGCCTAACAAGTCCCTCGGTGATGCTGACGCTGCTGCTCCGGGGACCCCTCGGAGGGGCGCTGCCTCTGGGGGAGAGGGATTCCAGCAGAACCGTCCTCTCTTCACACTTCTTTGGTATTTAAGGGCCCCTCCTACGTTGAGACCCCTGGCTGCTCACCCTTTGGGCGATGCACCTATAAGCCACGAGGGGGGAGGAGCTGAAGGGCCATTGCCCGGCTGGGGGAGCCCAACGCAGCCTCCCCAAGCCCAGGGTTTCTGCGCGATGCCCCCCTGACACAGGTGGTCCAGAAACACTTCCTAATCCGCCTCATCTGAAAGATCCCTGAAACAGGACGGTGGACGGGGCCTTTCTCAGCAGCCGAGGCACGGTGAATGGAAGCTGGTCACTCCAGGTGGC